CAACTTTATTACTTGGAGATTCAAAATAGATTTAACTTTTACTCTGTTATCAATTATATCAATGATTTACTGATATTTTCAAATGAGTTGTGACAAAAACTTCATATTAAATTAATATATAACAATTTCTATAATTTTATGCTAATCTTTTTCAGTGGGTGCTTGGAGATGGTAGAGAAGTGAGTAAGCAGGTTTGAAACCACAAGTAAAACCAGGTCTTTTGGAAGACCTAATAAGAATAGATACCATTGTTAATATTAGGATTTTAGTTGGTGGTGGGTTTTGTTTTGTTTTGTTTTGATTTTTATAATCATTCTCACCTTCTTGATTGCTCTATTTCAAATGTTAGTCTAAATACATTACTTAGAGTTCATATATTCAGTTTCATGTTTTTTTTTTAGAACATTTATGAAATGTGATGGGATGAGATGGGATAGAATAAAATAAATTTAATATAAAAATCACTGTCATGCTAAATATTTAAAAAATTGTTTCATATATACTGAGGTATATGTACTGAACCTCAATATATAATGTTTCATATTGTGGATCACAGGGGAAAATATATAAAATATGCTATGTAGTTTGAAGTCTTTGTTGAGTATCAACAACTATCATAGACTTTCACACAGGGTCCCACATTCAAAAGCCCTCACTTTTGGTTTTCCATATCTAATAGTTTGTTCATATGTTCATTTTATCTTTTTTCCTATAGGCACTATGTGATTTCAACCAACCTACTTCTTTTTCTATAAGTTTATAGTTTAACTAGAGGCCCAATACATGAAATTTGTGCAAGGGTGGGGTGGGATTCCCTCAGCCCAGCCTGCACCCTCTTCAATCTGGGACTTCTCGGGATCAGGCCTAAATCAGCAGTCAGACATCCGTCTCACAATCCTGGACCACTGGCTCTTAATCATTCACCTGCCTGCCTGCCTGTTCACTCCTAACTGCTCCCCATGCCATGCTGGCCTGGTCACTCCTCCTGCCCTTCCTATAGGCCTGGTCATTCCCAACTGCCCCACTCTGCTGGCCTGGTCACACCACATAGCCTGCTGTTCAGTAGTTTGGTTGTCCCTCACTAACCCCCTTGCCAGCCTGGTTGTAAGCAGCCATCATTTAGGGTGTGATGGTCAATTTGCATATTACCTCTTTATTATAGAGAATTATATAGTTGATCAATATCAACACAATCCAGTTTCAGAACATTTCTATTAACCTCAAAATATTTTCTTAATATCTAGTCAGTTCTGAATCTCATCCTCAGACATAGGAAATCATTAATCTTCTTTCTGTCTCTATGAATTTGCCTTTTATGGACATTTTATGTAAATGTAATCATAACAATGTGTGGCTGTGGTGTCTGGCTTTTTTAAGGTATCATAATGATTTTAGGACATCCACTTCATAGCATCTATTACACTTTCATGTTCACTGGTAAAGAGAATTCCAAAATGGGTATGATACATTTTGTTTGCTAGTACACCTATTTTTAAAAGTATGTTGCCATTGATTTTTTTTTAGAAAGAGAGGAAGAGAAAGGGATAGAGAGATAGAAACATCAAGGAGAGATGAACATCATCAACTGGCTGCCTTCTGCATGCCCCCTACTGGGATTGAGCCAGCAACCTGGGCATGTACCCTGGCTGGGAATCAAACAGGCAACCTATTAATTCCTGGGTCTAATGCTCAAAGTCTAAGCCACACCATTCAGGCATACACCTTTGATTGCTTTAGCTTTTGATTATGTTTTGAAATTGGGAGTGAAGGTTCTCTAATTTTGTTTTAGTTTCCCAAAATTGTTTTGGCTACTTTTGTTGTTTTTGTTTGTTTGTTTGAATGTTTTGTGTGTGTGTGTGTGTGTGTGTATGTGTGTTTTTGTATTTCCATGTTATTTTAGAATCAACTTATTCATTCCTACTAAAATAGTATATTAGGACTTTAATTATAAAAAATTAAAGAAGATAAAATAGAGATATTACATGCTTGTTAATTAGGAGACTCGATATTATCAAGATAAAAGTTATCCATTAGTTGATCTAAAAATTCCACACCATCCCTATAAAAGTCATGAACAAAATAGAAAAGGTTTTTTTTTAATGGAGCTTTTATTCTATATGAGGAAAACAGACAAAAATCAAGATAAATACATAGTGTTCTCTATAGTGATAATTGTATAAAGAAAAGTAAAAAAAGAAAAAAAGTGTAATAGCAATAGAAAATGGCAGAATGGGGTGTTTGGGGAAGACTTTCCTGCTAAGGGGAAATTAATTACATGAGGAAGTAAGCCTGGCAGACAGCTTGGAGAGGGTTATTGCAGGTGGAGGAAGCAATGCATGCTGGCTTGGAGGAAGAACCATCTTATCTAATAAAAGAGTAATATGCAAATTGACTGTCACTCCAACACATAACATGGCCATCCCCATGTGGTCAAAGATGGCTGCCCCAACGAGGACATAAGATGGTCACCACTAGATGGCCTGCAAGGGAGGACAGTTAGTGGGGACCCAGACTTGCAGGGGAAGGCAGTTGGGGGGAGCCAGGCCTTCAGGGGAGGGCAGTTTGGGGGGACAAGTTCTACAGGGAAAGGCAGTTGGGGATGATCCAACCAGCAGGGAAGGGCAGTTAAGGGTGACCAGGCTGGCAGGGGAGGGCAGTTAGGGGCAATTGGGCTCTCAGGGGAGCAGTTAGGCATCATTCAGGCTGTCAGAGGTGTGGTTAGGGGTGATCAAGCTGGCAGGCAGTCAGGCAGGCGAGTGGTCTGGAGCCAGCAGTCCTGGATTGTGAGAGCGATATCCAACTGCTCTTTCAGGCCTTATCCCACTGCCAGTCAGACATCCCTAAAGGGGTCCCAGATTGGAGAGGGTGCAGGCTGAGCTGAGGGACACTCCTTCTCCCATGCACAATTTCATGCACCGAGCCTCTAGTGCCTTTTATATTAGAGAAGCAAGTAGGCCAGGGTGGTTAAATTGAACCACCCTGAAGGGAGATGAGGTCAGAGCATAAGGATATCAGATCATGTAGGATTTGGAAGCCAATGTGAGAACTTTAGATTTTATTCTGCATGACATGAGAATCCAGTGAGATATGAATACAAAGAAGATATAAATTGGCTTTGTTTTAAAAGTAATTGCTTTGTGAACTAAAGAAAAAAGAAAGAAAAGAAAGAACAGACTTTAGGAAGGCAAAAGAGGAAGCAGGAAGAACAATCTGTGCAACTTCAATAACACAGAAGAAGATAAGGCAGCTTTCAAAAAGGATTTGGGAATAGACTTGGGGAGAAGAACTGGACTATATATATATATATTACATGTAAAGCAGCAGGATTGGTTGATGGTTGGGCAGAGAGTATAAGTGAAAGGACAGAGATAGGATAATGACAATGTTTTTAGACTGAGCATTTGAAAAGATTGAAAAGATTGAGATACCATATACCAAAATGAGGAGACTAAGGAAGGGAAAAGCAAGTTTTAAAACAAAGAGGGAAATCAAAATTTTAGTTTAAGAAGTATTACAGTATTTAAACTGAAGGATGAAAATACTGAGAGAAAAAAAAAAAGTATTTACGTGAAGAGCCTCAGTATATTCAGAGGAAAATAACTGTTTTCTGTTATTTCATATTGCAGGTTGTCTACCTTCATAACAACAACATCACTGCAGTTGGAACTAATGACTTCTGCCCACCTGGATACAACACCAAAAAGGCTTCTTATTCAGGAGTGAGCCTTTTCAGCAACCCAGTTAAGTACTGGGAGATTCAGCCAGCCACCTTCCGATGTGTCTATGTGCGATCTGCCATTCAGCTAGGAAACTACAAGTAACTCCCAACAAAGCCCTCATTTTTATAACCTGACAAAATCCCATTAATGCCATTGCTCAAAAAAGAAAAAAAAAAGAAGAAGAAAATGAAAGCCATATAATGAAATCCTAACTGCAATGTGGATGTTTTTCCCACATGACTTATCATGCATAAAGCCAAATGTGCAGTTAAAATGACTGCCTACAATAAAAAAAGTTTTGCCTGTCATTTCAGAATCCTTTTTTGAAGCTTTCTATTGATGTTAACTGAGCTATTGCATATAATTATTAGTTCACTAAATGTAAAATTTGGAGAAAATATGTATGTCCAAAATTTAGTAAAGTCTTTTTTTTTAAAATAATTTTTAGAAGGAATTAAATTTTAAAAGTAACCAATCTTCTGTAACTTATAGGATGGTTAGTACCTTTGGCATAAAGTCAAAAGTAAAGCTCTAGCTTTGTATTAATTCCCATTATTACTGGAAAAGCCTCATTTGAATATGTAAATTCAATATAGGCTATGTAAAATTTTCGCTGTCATTATTTTGAAAAAAATAAATTCACAAGTTCACATTCAAAATATTACTATGGTATAAAAGTGTAATTGTAAACCTTCCTAAACTTAATTTTCTTAAAAAGTAGACATTGTTTTCTTGATATAAATAGCACCTTGTTTCAAGTTCTTAGATGTTTACTCTTCTCCTGCCCTTTAACATTTGTGTATTGTGACTTAAGTTATCTATATTCAATGTCACGTTGATAAAACACAAAACTGACTTTTTCTGAGTGGTCTAGAAAACTGATATTTTATAGTTACTAAGATACTAATTCAGCTTTAAAACTCCCATGTATATAATTAGGCTACTTACCTGAATATTTCTATAATTACTAGACATATTAGAAATATTTATTGCATCTAGTTAAACCTTCTATTGATTTTAGAATTTTTTTCTGCAGAGTTTAGAAACAAGTATCAAAGCAGACCATTCAACAAGCTTAGGGAATGGGATGATTTACCAAGAGTAAATATTTATCAAAAAGTGTATTTATGCCATCAGCATCTAATAAGTAAACATGGGAAGACAGTTTGTTTCTTCTACAATGTTGGATGTTTTATGGTTGTATATACTGAAAACTGAATCCGAACTGCTTTAAACTAAACTAATAATAATAATAATAATAATAATAATAATAATAATAGCAATACAAAATAGTCCTGCTGTTAGGTGAACCGTTAGCTCCAGTTTGATCTGAGTGTCTCAGCAGTTCTTTCATTGCATTTTCTGGCTGGCTTCTCTTATGGTTGCAAAATAGAGATCTCCCCCATTATTTATTTCGTTTGGGACAGAAAGAACATTAGCACGATATTTCCAGGAAAAGTCATGAGATTCTCTCTGCTTATTACATACAAACTTCACAACACTGTAGTGTCAATGAGCAAATATTTTTACTCCTATTTCGTAGAAATGTAAACTTAAATTAGTAGAAATAACTTTCCTGTATTTAAATACCTGATAAAGACCTGGCAACAGAGCTTTTTCTCTGTTTCTTTGTACAAGGCAGGATTTGCTAGAAAACTGAATTTACCGCCAGAGAATTCACATGAAAATAACTTTGTGAAGGGACTATTATAGGGTGTGCAGAGTTTATTGCATCAAACAAGGGATGGTGAGGCACCCAGAGACTAGCCACTGGTGGAAAGCCATTCCCACCACATAGCCGAATGAACAGGGGAAGAAATTGTTTTTCTGGAGCCAAGTGAAAGGACAGCTATGGCGGACATTCCTGCCCAGGGAGCCATGTCCCTGAAGGAACACAACATCTGCCAGAGGTGAGGTACTGAAGCAGGACATCTACTTTTCCTAATACATATCCTCCCACTGTTCAAACTAAAGGAAAGACAACCATGAAGAAAGCCAGGTAGATAAAGTCTTGTCCTGGAGCAGACCAGAAAAGAGAGGAAAATGGATCTGGTTGAGGCACTTGAGGAATAACCAGCTCAAGCATTCTAATTATAATCATAGGGATAGTGAACAAATTCTACCAGCCTAAGATAAGAATTACACTCACATCATATGTTATCCCAGGCACATTTTCTGAACCACAGTTACTTTATACTTTTTTTGTATTAATCAGAAGTCCTAATGAATAAAAAATCATATATTTGATGAAACTTTGTCAGATGATTAGCTGAATCTGGTTTTCCATTCTGAACACGAGGCTATTTTTATAATGGCTTTGACTAAAGCAAAGTTTACTCATTTAAATAAGAATGGTTCATATTAAAAAAGTATAAACAGAAAACCTACATGGTCATTTATGTATTATGCAAAAATTTGGCAGAAAACAAAAATAATATTTGAATAATGAGAATCATGGGAATTGATGCACAGAGCTCTAAGCTTTTAAAGTCATATTTTTCTTTTTACCAGTTACTGCCACAAATGTACAGAGCTATGTATTAGCTATTTAACTTAGCTGGACTTTCATGAAATTATTTTATTGGTGATATTTATTCATAGGCTTGTATCAGGCAGTAACAAGGAAGGCTAATTATTGATTTAGCATAATTCGTTCATTCATTTATTCATTCATTCAATAAGCTATACATAGCTCCTAGTGGAAAAATGAAAACAACAATAGATATTTGTTTCTGGAGTTTTTTCAGGATATACGAACTGCCATCTTCTATGCTAGGCTCTTTTTGGACCAGGCATTTATTTATCACAAAAATCCCACAGGAATATTCTATTCCCATTTCACAGATGATGAAATTGAGATATATAGGAAGCATAGAGTCAGTATTGTAACCCTGATGTGTGCTGATCCATTTAGGTTTGGCCTTAACTTTTGGAATAGTTTATACAATTCATAGCATTGTCAAAACCAAAGGAAGAAGTCTTAAAACACTAGGAAGGGAATATATTCATGGTTCTTAGCAGTTCTTTAGCATTGTGTTAATAGGCCAGAGCCTTGAGGTTCAGGTACCTTCAATATAATAACTGTCCTTTCATTGAATACCATCTTAACTTATTTAACACTTACAATAGTCCTAAGGGTTATGTATAGTTATTCAATGTCCCTTTTACAGAAAGGCAAAGGAAGCCCGAGAGTGGTCAAGTAATTTTTCCATGGATACACAGCTTATAAGTAAGAAAGACAACTCTTCCATCACTTCAATGTGTTGCCTTCTGGTACTTTAGAAAGAATGTACTCGTGTCTAACAATGTACATCAATGAACATTCACAGTATTTTTTTTTGAAATATTGTGCAGAGCTGTAAAATAATGGGTAATCCCACCAGCTGCAATTAGTGCTATTACATTTCAAAAATGGTGAATTCATTTGTAACAAATAGAAAATATTCTACAGTAACACTGTTTACTTTTGAAAATGTTCTGTATCAATGTAAAAGTGTCCAATATCCATTAACTGCACATGTTTATGGAGCATTAAAAATGTGATAGAACTAAATAACATTTTAAATTTTATCTAATTTCAATGCATTTAAAGTTAGTAGCCTTGTATAGTTACTTGATATCACATTGAATATCACATTATAAATACTCCCAATGAGTTTAAATATGACTTCCATAATACAAAGTGGATTTCTATTCATGCAAAAATATTTACTAAGCCTGTGCTGCATATCGGGGATATAATTATAAATAAGATGCCTCTTTTGACTTTAAGGGATCTTAAAGGACACAGTCATATAAGCAAATAATATAAATATGAAAGGATAAATTTTATCATAGTAATATAAGCAAGTTACAGCAGAGTTCATGGAAAGGGTTATCAGTTTTGCTAAGGAAGCAGAATACACACAGAGAAACATGGGAGACTTCACTGAGAGGGGGGATGGTTGAGGTGTCTTTAATGAGTGTAAGAGTTCAACAGGGAAAGGGGCTGCTCCAGGCAGAGAGTAAGTTCAAAGACCCAGAGGTGTGCCTGGGCAAGTCTTCTCTGAGGGGCTGGCATAAAGGAGTGCTTACTCAGATACTTTGCTTTCTATGAAGCCCAGGCAATAGTTCACAGCCAGAGATGATATACACAGAGCTGAGGACAGCACTAGGAGGAGCCATCCTTTCTCCTCTTTCCACAGAATTGCTGAATCCCAAATATCAATTTTCTAGAATGTTCAATAGAGGGAGAAACTGTCTTCTCTCTTACAATCCCAAAGATCCTACACTCAAAGTGAAGAGAAGGTTTCTATTAGAAGGCATCCAAGTGTTTAAGGTCCATGTCTTCGCTAGTTTTATTTTTTTCCAAACAGGACCTGAAATGCTGCACCTTTTTTCTCTAGCCCTTCCTCCTCCATATTGCATGTTTCCTCCTGTAGGGGAAAAGCTTGCAGTTACCATGCTGCTTACTTTACAACTGAGTGAGGGATAGGTGGGCATAGAAGGATAGGGAATACTATTTTGGACTTTCATCTCCAAGACAGATCTTGCAACATACCTTTTGAAGCAGCAAAGTTATTTCTAATTTTGTTTCAGGATCAACAGGAGATAGAGGACTGACCTTTTAGCATCCCTCTTTCAAGTATATGCCTATATCTATATCTATATCTATATCTATCTATATAATCTATATCTATATCTATATAATCTATATCTATATCTGTATCTATCTATCTATATCTTCTTTCATGTGAAATAAAGATCCAGGTGGCTCATTACCTTAATTCAATAATTGCTATTTGCATGACTTTGGAAAGTTAACTTAGCCTGCTTGTGACTTATTTCCCTGTCTGTAAAATGGGAATAATAACAGTACATTCCTTATAGGTTGGTGTGCGAATTAAGTTTGTTGACATTCGGTGTGATTCTTTTATCAGAGCCAGGCACCTGAGAAAGATTCCAATATAGTGGTGCTGTTGCTGTTATTCCCCAGGATGCATAGTTAGAGCTGCAATAATTTCAAAGGGTATTAGGTCGTTAGGACTATGCAATCTGAGATTTTGTATTTCAAACAAGCTGCCAGGAATGTTGCTGCTGTTTGAGGAACAAAACAATGGAGCCCTCCCATTATTTAATGTTCCCTGTCTGTCTTTTGTGCCCCACTGCTTGGCCCCTGTGAGAAACTACCACCATTATCATTTTCTAGAGCTATTATAACAAAGTTCCACAAGCTGAAATGGCTTAAAATGATATAAGTTTATACTCTCACATTTCTAGAGACATAAAGTTCAAAATCAAGGTGTTGATGGAACAATGCTCCCTCTAGGGGAGAATCCTTCCTTGCTTCTTCTGGCTTCTGACCGTTCCAGGTTTGTGACGTCACTCTAACCTCTGCCTCTATCGCCACATGGCCTTCTCTCTTCTCGTCGTGTGTGTCTGTGTCTATTCTCCTCTTCTTATAAGGACCATACCTATTTTGGGGTTAGTCTCCACCTCACTTCAGTAAGACTGTATCCTAACTTGATCATTTTCTTAAATAGATCATCTTAACTTGATCTATTTTAAAATAGTCTTATTCAAAGGCACTACGGGTCACATCTGCAACATATCTTTTGGAGGGACACAATTCAACCATGAACACTTAATTAAAAACTTTTTTATATTAAGGTATTATATATGCCATGAACACTTTTTATCTTTATAAAAATGAATATTTATTTTTGTTCTTATTTTTACTAACGCTTTTGTTTGATCCTGTGTAGTTTGCAAAAAGAAGTTAGAAAATGTTAATTTACTTCTGGCCCTATGCGGTTGGGTAAGCCCCCTTCATACATTCATGCAACTTAGGCTGTAATCATGTCTGCCTGAAGGGCAGTCAATTTACCAGACCCAAATTTTTGAGAACATGGTATTTATGCTCTTTTAATGCATTCCTCTTCAATGATCTTGATCCAGCAATGAAACTTGCTGTTGTACTCATCACATAAATCATGCATACTGTGGATCTCCACTTGCCTTCTGGTTCAGTCAGTGTACTGAACTGTGACTATTATCTTTCTTTTCTTTTTTCTTCCCTCCTTTTCTGTAATACTATTCCAAGGAACTCCTTCATTCCACAGTTCATTGCAGCTGCAGATACAGAATCTCAGGGCCTTTTCTTCCACACAAACAAAGAAACACCAAATCCCGTGAGTAAGCTAAAAACACTGTATGCAACAGTCTCCCCATCATACGAAGTTCCAAAACGGCCTGGTTCAAGACTCCTCCTTAATGCGCAGAGAACAATGTCTCGCCCGGTCACAGGAGAGGAGCCTTCCAAGGCAGACAAGTAAAATGGAGGAAAGTAA